ACAGTGCATAGCATAGATATTAATAACCCCCAGAAAATAGATGGTCAATATCGATATCCAATAATGATGCAACACAAATTGGAACAAACTAAATGAAGACGTATATAGGCCCAGAAAGCCCTTGATGAAATAATATATTACACGCACTATTTTGCTCCCCGCAAAATGTTTACTTTCCCAGGATACTATTATATTATTATTATTATTATTAAAACTCTCTGGCAAATAATTGAATAACAGGGTAATACATCAATTACGATTACGATAAAATAACTTAAAATGTCTATAAAGGTAAAAATTTAGTTTATTATATTTACATATTTACATTCTCACACCCACACTCAATCTCACCGACATTGCTTGAATGACAGTTGCAAAAATGGACTTATTAATAGCGGAAAAGGATGAAGTTTTAGTTACTTTACATGATGCTCTTGAATTTCCCGATCTCAGACTGTAACCGTGGGGACTCAGCCACATCTAGTAGATGGTTTAAAGGATGACATGGTTGTTGTACTGTATTCATATATTCTTGGCACAAGATATTCCTACTGTTTGATAGCAGTGTGAGTCCAGCGATTCGTAAGGAGTCATTGTATTCTGACGCTGGGTAAACAATACGCACTGCCCGTCTTTGGACATCCTCAAGTTGGTTACTTATATATAACAGGATGTTCGACCATGCCGCAGACGCATATTCAAGGATTGGACGTATAGTCGTGCAGTATACCATCACGAGACCTTTACGATTAATTCCTGCTTGTTTAAGTTGGCGAAGTCCAAACAAACGTTTAGAAGCTCTCTTGCATTTTTCAAGGGAATGTTCACACCAAGATAGAGTATTGTTAATAATACTCCTGCCAGAGGGGTCATGGAGTTTCTTGTATTATCTGGCATCAAAATCCAGTATTATGGGCATGGAACATTCGGGCAGCCTCAAATTGTCTTTGCACACGAAGAAGGATTAGCTCTGTTTCAAAGCCATCACCAGGGAAACATGACGCAATATATTTATTGGAAGAAAGCTAACAGTGCGTTGTCATATTACTCCAGCAGAAAGCGTGTTTGGTAGAGAAGCGGAAGTAGAGAACCTTGCGAGGTTGGATTTTAACTCGCATAATCGGCGAACCGCACAACGCTGTTAAATTATAACCTATCGAGTCATCTGGGGCGAGCCCAAATTCAAATTTATATGTTTATAGGCCGGTTTACACGACCAGTGTTTTGGGCACGGCACCCCTAAAATGGGCACCCGTGCCCAAAATTTTAGGCACGGCATCTCTGCCTTTTGGAGTGTATAAACGTGACAAAAATCGCCACCGGTGCCGCAAAATTTAAACGTGCCGAGACTTTCTCACGAGGTAGTCTCGACACGTCTAGCAAGCTGTGCCGTGCCCAAATTTAGAAAAAAATAAAAAATGTGTTCGACATCGAGCATGCGCAAAACAAATTTTCCTCTTTCAAACATGGCAGCAAGCGGCGAAAAACTTGCGAAAAACTGCAACTTGTCAAAAATTAAAAAAACGAAGTTAAAAAACAAATTTAAACAACACAGAATGTGAATGTTGTTCTAGTTGGCTCGGAAATGTTGATACCACTGTTCGTCGCTGAATCTCTAGAGCAGTAACTAGGTCGTAGCAAATGCCATTTGCTTTGAGGCGTCCATACTTTGATGCGTCCATACCTCTCGAATTCGAGGCGGGTGAATACAAAATGGCACAATAATTACGCGAGAAAACAGCTCCATTCGTCTTTAAGGGCCTGTTCATATGGGCAAAAGTTATCCCGGTTAACGAGAAAACTTTTCGACTAGACAAATGCTTTTGTTCTGTTCACATGGAGAAACGTTATCCCGCTTACCGGGTAAAGTTTCCGGCTGTGACATAGCACTGAATATCAATTGAATTAAAAACTTGCTAACACGACAGAAAGTTATCCTGCTAAGCGGGAAAGTTGTGTTCATATGGGAAAAACATTATCCCGTTCACCGAGATCTGGCTTGTCAACAAGCGAGATTTCGGTACACGGGAAAACTTTTTGTCTTATGTGAATGCAGTGTAACTTTTCATATTATTTTCATACCAAGGCGAGATCTCGCTTGTCAACTTGTCGAAAAGTTTTCTCGCTAACCAGTATAACTTTTGCCCATATGAACTGGCCCTTCAACTACTTTTCTAGTATTAAATTGTTTTTTCCTCTCGATTTTGGGTTCATATAATACTCTTCTTCGTTCCAATAAATAAAAATATACAATTCTGTTTCTGTCTGACATATTTATTCTTTAAAATATACCGTCGTAAACGGAAACTAGAGGTGCCGTTTTCAGATGGGCACGGTGCTTATCATAAAAGTGTGTCTACAAAAAGTTGCCGTGTAAACGAGTAAATAGCGAGGTGGCGGGTTTGGCACGGTGCCCATTTTTAGGGGTGCCGTGCCCAAAATACTTGTCGTGTAAAACCGGCCTTATATTTAAGCGCTCGAGATTTCTTACCACTTATCGATTTTATTTAAAACATTCTTGCAATGGCAACAATGTTCCAACTCTATTTCGTAGCCAACAAACACGGTGCAATATATATTGATAAGAAAAACCCCAATATTAACACTGACAAAATAAAGAGGGATTTGTACTGGAATATTCAACCCCCTTGCCTGACGATCAACCAATATAGCCATTGAGTAAACTGGGCAGAGCACAAGTTCAAATCCATGTAATCCGTCGTCTTCTCGTTTTACTGCAGAATATGCGAGTTGTAACCCAGCATGCAGAATCAACTTTGTGTTAAAACTGAACGCAGTGTCGGTTTTTTTTTCAAGAATAGATTGTATGAAAAAGGGTTATAGATATAGTGAAAATTGTGATGTCTGTCGGTTGAAGTAACAGTTAGTGTTACATTGTTCACGATTATGCTAAAGATAGAATAATACGGGCAAAAGAATTGCTGCAACTTGCAATAAAATTTGATTTCTAAGCGCATGTTAATTGAAAATGTTTACACACACATTACAAATCACGAGGCAACATGTGTCAACATTTCTACTTAACATGCGTTGAAATCAGATTTTGTTGCAAGTTGCAGCAATTTTGTTGCTCGTATTACTCCAGCTTAAATTGTAATGGCTCGATCCTTTCTTGAAATCCTACAAGTTGACGCCATTGCATTTGCCAATCTGGACGCCGTAGCAGTCGAGTGTATATATTACCAAATAACAGTGTATTTGCATGTTTACTATAACGTTCCAGATGCCTAAGGTGCTTCCTTTGGGTATTCCAAGGGTGAGGTTGTGACGATGTTGAAGAACATTATGTAGAACGATTCTGTAAGCCGTACTACACAATTAGGCCGCGATTGCAAACAAAGGCAAAACTGATTATATATACTGAATGACACCGTAACACGAAATTCTTATGAACGATCGTTTTCCACGAAGCAAACAGCTTGATCGTAATCCAGACCTAGATCTTGTACAAAACTTTCTTAAATCACACTGGTTAATCGAAAGAAAGCCATGTTGAAATGTGCTGATGAGTTGTAGAACGTGGCCGTAATTTCGTAAACCTTCTAGAAAACTAGTACCGTTCTGAGACCTTGTGGTTTCTCGTGAATAGGAGTGACAGTCGCTGATTTCCAATCCGAGGAAATGCGACTAGAGTAGACCATGAGGTTGAGGAGAGTTGAGAAGTTCAGAGTCCAAAAGCTTTTAGCGATTTGTTCGTGTGCATTGGTGATTGGTTGTGTCTGAGTATCTATTGTAATTATTTCTTATAAGTGCATCATAACAAATATATAGTTCTACGTATGTACTGAAAAGTCAAACAAAATTATCATGTATATGTAACAATTTTATGCCTATTCTAGCATGAAAATAATTCTTCTTTCGTGTATCGTGAGTAAAAGTCGCGTGTCGTGGGTGGTAAAATGCGCCAAATTTGCATTATTTGCTAGTAATCTCTTGTTAAACCCATTACAAAAGGATGTCCACTTGATATTAATCCGACAAGTGTAGTCGTGCTATTAGTTTACTCAGTATTTTGCCATTTGTTGGGCTCAGAAAAGTTCAATAAGTAACAAATTCATGCATATTTCAGTGCAAGTGATGGTAGGAAAGAAAATTTAATGACAATACATTTTATATTAAAACTTAAGCCTACGGTTACACTACACCGTAGCGGGGCGAAAAAGCGCCTATCAAATACGGAATGTAGAACTTTCAGAAGCTAAGCGAAAAAACATCTTTTCGTTGCAATAATTCCTCTGAAAAGATCTGAAATTTAGGTACGGATATAGGAGTTTTTTCACGTCGCTACTGAAAGCTATCTGGTAGGTAGCCTACCATGTAACTCTTATACAGTATACGAACTTTTGCAGCCTGTCGCCAGAAATAGTGCTTACAGTGAAACAAAGTTCTGCGACGGCCTCTCTTTACAAAATCATTTTCTGCAATTAAATCTGAGATCTTGTACACTTACATGACGGGCCAAACCCGTTTATAATGATTATTGCATTGTGTGCTGATATGATGAACTTTCTCTCGGAAATCAAATTAATACGAAGTTTTAAACCACTTGAGTTTGCTTCGCAAAACGCATTTCCCTTACCGTTAATCGGTTCTAAGGGCGCGCTGTATTCGGCGATTTTAATGTAATCTGAAACAACCGACAAGGGATATTAAACAAAAGGCAAATATCAAAAGGAAATCAAAAAAATATTTAAAAAACAATATTCCAAAAAAGTATTTCGGAAAAAAATATTATTTCAAAAAAAGTGTTTCAAAACATATATTATTTCAAAACAATACATTAATTAAAAATACATTAAAAATATCTTAAATATCCGCGTTTTATCCCCGTATCCGCTCCGTGGTTTATCCTCATATCCGCTCCGCCTTTTATCCCCCTATCCACTTCGTTTATCCGTTCCGCTGTGTGTCCGCATCCGCTCCTTACCCAAACCCAATGACTAGAGGAGTCAACAAATCAGTGTAGCAATTAAAAAACTATGTTTTTATCCGAGCATAGTTTAGGTATGAATTAAGTTTTCAATATTTATTGTACAATGTCATTGTCTCCAGTTAATTTCGTCACTATTTATTTTTCTCCTAAATTAATTACTAATACGAAGAATTTAATTTCGCGAAGTCACAAGGTGTTATGAACACAAGCAGTTTTACCTGTTGAAATTTCATTTGATATTTTTGTTATAGCTTACTCGGATCTACAGATCAGGTTGGTCAACCCAAAGAACAACAAAACTGCAGGAAGAGTTGAAATATACCATCCTTCTTTTGGCTGGGGTACTGTCTGTGGTCTCCCGCCCTGGACTATTGTGGAAGGTGGGGTTGTATGTCGCCAGTTGAATTTCACTGGAGCGAACGCGACAATGTGGTATAAAAGCCCCTATGGCCAAGGAAGTGGTCCAACATTGCTTAACAACATTAAGTGCACTGGTAACGAATCGTACATATGGGATTGCAGTCAACCTGGATGGAATGTGTATGACTCTTTGTGTGACGATCTTGATTTGGATGTGGGTGTTGATTGTTACTGATGGCAGGAATGCGGTGATCGATATTGGACTGGAAATTTGATTGATTTAAAGGTGTTTATGTGAGTTTTTTCATAACAGATGGCCCACTCAAACGATATACTTCGATAAAATTATTATAGTACTTTCATAATAAGTTCTTGTGGCGAAAGTATAATTGTTTTACTTTGTAGAAAGCACACGTTTATTAATTTAGTAGAGCGCAGGTAAAAGACCCTGGCTTGCGAGGTTGGCAAAGCTTTTGAATTTCATTTGAATTACAAGCGAGTATAACCAATACTAGTCAAGTTTAACGCGACTCTTAAATATGTGTTAGTGTAACGCCCGTATTCTAAAAGCTCACTCACACTCACATTCAATGAGTGGAGGTTCAATCTGAGCTTCTCTTGAGTATCAATTCTGTTTTTGAATAGCTGGAGGGTGAATAGTCGCAGAGAACGGTACGGCACTAACCCTCCAGCTATTCAAGAACAGAAATGACACTCGAGAAAAGCTCCAATTGAACCTCCACTCATTGAGTGTTAGTGTGAGTGGGCTTTTAGAATACGAGCGTAAGTCTTCGTACTAACACAATGGATCAACTAAGTCAGAAATTTGATAATTTATACGATCTGGATAACTTTTTCATTGAAATTTGCGATCTGTACATCTTCGACCTTCTATTGTCTAAAACTCCTACTCTTCTAATATAGTTTTATATTTCAGCCAAATCTAGAGTCAGTATGCAGGCATGAATTTCTGAAGGAGTTTCTTTGTTTTAGCTAAGCGACTGTACTATTGAGCCACTGCCCCCCCCCCCCCCTAACAATTGCTGATCGAGCATGCTTAAAATTTTTCATTTAAATCATCTGGATTAAAAATTGTTAATTGCTAGTTACGTAAAAGTAGAACAACCTTGCTTTTTGCTTTTCAACTCCAGAATTTGTTCACACTCTAACTAACCAGTTCTTATAGACATATGATTTAATCATGAATAATAAAATGACTGGACAGAATGCTTGATTGTGAAACGATGATCAACTTGATGAGAAATTATGAATTTCAACAGTCACTGGCACTTACATGTTCATATGAAAGCAAATTGAGTATGAACTTAATTACAAAATTGCGACCTGCAGATCGACTATATAACTACAGTATACATAATATATGATAGCAAGGTCATAGAAAAGAAGTTATATTCCTTGCACATACACGACCTACTCAAAAAGTAAGGCATCAAAAAAGAACGAACAACGTGTACCTCTACTGTGATATTTCCGCTTGGTGAGTTGTTTTCGTAACATCGTTTTTCATTCGGCCGACAAAATCGAATACAGAAAAAGACAAATACATCAATTATTACTGCGTGGGCTATCTTTATATATAACTCACAAAACACCACCTAGTCTGACGTTAGAAATGCATTTAGCGCAATATAATTGTAATCACTATTTAAGTGAAATTTAATGCCTATTCAACATAGAAAGTATAGGGAGAACAGTTGTTCAACCATAAACAGTGCCAGTTGGGGTGTGTTTGATTCTCGTGGTGCCTTTATATTGTCTTATCCAGATAAATCGACAAACAAATAAAATATCGCATGTACAATTATACCATCATACTTGGCATATTGTGAACGAAATACTTCGCCTTTGGTTTGCGAGCTTTTAGCTCCAATTATTAAGATAGGTTGGAAACCAATAAAAACAAGAATTGACAATCTAAGTCCATCAAAATCGTCTATTTAACTTCCATTATGACAACAATAATAATCTTTAATAATTAGGGATGCGTGAATCATCTTACGGTGCTTTTCATCAGATGCCAAGATGACCAAGTTTTTGATCAGACCTTGATCGTCTGGTCTGAACTTTTGTCGTATCAAACACACCCTTTGGCTCTGGCTATAAGATATAAGTTTTACGTACTTTGAACCGCGAGGTTGTTTAGCTGGTGGTCAGTTAACTGGTGAGCTTCAAAAATGTCATTAAGAAAAGAAGCATGATTTCCTGACTCTAACCTGCATGGTATAGCCTTCCTCAAACTAATGAAACAAACACACGAACCATGCATCAATGAAACAGTACATGTGGGTATCAGCATTAAACAAGAATTCATAAATAAATGATCTAATAAAGTCCACCCTCAATTTAAGCACCCGTATCTATTAGATGCACAGGGTGTTACCGGAATTTTGCAATAGTTCGGTTTTGCAATAAAAAATTACACGGTTCGAAAATGTCCACTAAACTGGATATACCGCAAATTTTTGACAACTTTGTGATAGTGTGGGCATTTTGGGGTCTTTTGGTATCTCTATCGCAAAATTACGCTGAAAAGCAAATTTTCGAGCGCAGCAGGCTTGTTTCTAAAAACCACTTTCGCACGCTATTTCATTCAAATAAACATTTGTTAATAAATAAACAAGTGTTCTATTCAGAGTCGTCGCTAGCGGGGTGTGGGTGTGTGATTACCCATAAAAAATCTTTTCGGCAGGATGACGGGTTTGTCGCCAAATCGTTTTCCAAGTCACCAAAAACACGAATTGGATAGGAGAGACAAGAACTGAAATATCTGAGCGACACTGATGAAAAAGTAATATATAGTTATAGTAACAAATGTTTTGTATTCCCTCTCCTCCCCATGCTCGCCAACAATCTTGGGAAGAGAAAATTATTAATTTGCGGCTGAAATGGTGTCGTCAAATCCAATACTACCGCCTCCCCCATGCTTTAGCCTCTTTGCGGACAGCCCTGTTTCTATTCACTCTGCGAACGTTGGAAAGTATTATTCAAGAAATATGGCTACCCTATATAGAACTATGTTAAAGTAATCGCTCCTCTCAAATAGGTACTCCTTATCTGATAAACGCCTCTCGCCACCCTTTGAAGCCCTTACGGTACATAATGCTAATCGTGGATTTTTAAACTAGTGACACTGTACTCACCAGCCAAATCCTCCTGATGAAAACCAACGGTTCTTATATTTCCCATTATATAACGCCATTAAAAGTAATTAAATTAGTATTAGTTTTAAAGTAAGCTAACTAGTTATCGCCATGTCATTTACAAGCATAAGAATCTTTAATACTATAATTACTTGTAGTGCATGACTTCCAAAATTATGCTTGTAGTGAACGTATTTTAAGAATTTGTAGTAAATTTTGTAGGGCATGATTTGCATGAGTATGTAGTGAGTTGCATGCTATGGTTTGTAATGAATGTCGGCTTAATATAGTGTCAATGCTAGTCGAGACTTGCATATGGCTTGTAGAGGGGCGTACATAATAATATGACTGTAGTGACTTAGTAAGGCTAGCTTTGCAGTCGCTTGGAAGTGTTTTGGAGAGAGGTCTTCTGAAAAGCTGCGACATGGCTCGCTTGTAAAAGTCAAAGTTTAAAGTTGTTTGGGTTCGTAAATAAATAGACAATGCATTAAATTCTGTTGTACAATTATTGTGTGACAAACGAGGAGCACATTAAGCAATCTTTCCAGAACGGTTCAGAAATGTTTACTACCACTTCATTTAACATCCACTTTCTAAACACAACCGTACCTCGGTTTACATGGCTTGCACTGTAACAAGGCTCCATTTTCTGTTCTGGAACATTTGCAAATACGTTCTGGAAAGATGTGTAATGGAACACAGACACTGTTCTGAAACAGTGCCTGGCAAGTATATAGTGAAGTAAGTATATACTGTAAAATTTAGATTGGGCATATACATCGTCGAAATACCTGTTTGTTTAGTCAGAGCAATATTTAAAATCTTTTCCCGCACGTTCATGACTAAGGCAATGCTGTAACTAGTCAAGTCATTGACTCGCACTAGAGTCCCAATTTTCTGCGACTCCAGTTGAACATGAAAAAAACACACGACTCGAGTCAACAGCCCAGACTCGACTTGTTGAATTCTGCCCTCAATGGCTCGAATCAACTCAGCTACAACTTGTTCAGGATAAATTAATCAAAAATATTGTAGTTGAGTAGGTTGGGAAGAGTCATGAACGGACTTGAAGAAATGAAAAGTAATTTTATTTCTCTGCAGATAGGCATGTTTCCACTAATTGTACAGAAATTTTTAAAGCATCTTTCTTCACCTTTTTGTTCACCGTACAATTCGCGTAGCCATTGACTCGATGCATGTGTATGGGTTAATTTGAAGATTTTGGGCACATCACTCGATAGAACTCAGGGGCGGATCCAGCGTTTTGGATGACAGGTTTACTAGGTCCACACAACAACTAGGGGGGTCCGGGGGCATGCACCCTCGGGAAATTTTTAAAATTTGGGCCTCTGAAACAGCATTTCCTGCGTTCTGGCGTCACCGTTTAAATTAATTTAATGGTTGGAAAATACATGTTTTTAAGAGAATTTTGGACTAATATACGCAGCTCAAACAATGAATTGAACCTTTTCGGAAACTTATTAGCTGGTGATAAAAATATAGGATTGGCCAATTGCTGACGCATCGATATTTATTATAAGTACAACAAGTAGAGATGCTTTTAATATAAACATAGTTGTAATTTTCGATTTATACGCTTTCAAACCAACTTTAACAATGAAATAGAAACAAAACTGCAAGAGCGTGAAAGCTTTACAATTATTTCCTGATTCTCTATCGCAAACGCAATGATTCGGTCACGCAATATCATAAGAATATACACATATTTCGCGCTATCATGAGTGTAGACTGTGTAGAAGACTAGAAGTTACACGTATAAACATCAATACGCTTGTTGACGGATCGATATTTATTATACAGTAAGTAGAAATAGCTTACAGTTATAACTTTAGACTATATACTTTTAAACAAACCTTCAAAATGATTAATGAACAAGAAAACCATGTAAATGCTTCTATCGCCAACGCAATTTTCAGTCACGCAAAATTATAAACATATTTCGCGCGTCGTCGAGTTCTGTTAACTTTCATTCCCAGTTTTCTCTAAATACTGCTCGACTCACAGGTTTATGACCGGTTTACATCCGTCGGAGCGCAGCCGTTTAGCCAATCGAATGGCGTATCGACCGGTTTACTCTCATTGAGAAAACTCAGACCACCGGTTTACTCATAATTGCGGGCGGTTATGTGTGATTCATGCGACGTTTCAGTCCACGACCCACGACGATACATTAGCAGATTATTTGTCTAGTATTACAACATTTCGTAAGAGGAAACCAACGCGATAAGTCTTTATTTAAATAAATGCTTATTATGCAAGTAGGTCTAAGTATACGCTCGGTAATCGGCCGTTCTAATTGTTGAATGGATTTGTAGTTGAAAATGTCGAGTTTGGCATAGCCAGAGTATATGTAGTGGATGAACTTGCGGTTACAGTTCGACAACTGAACTTTGTAGCTTCCCACAGTCTTCAGACATCCTATAGGCCTGTTTACACTTGCAATTTTTGCTGCGATTTTAGGTGCAATTTTCTTCTTCTGAAGGATGTGAACGAGTGGATGAGTTATGAATGTTCAGATGAGGGTACATATACTCAGAACATTCCTAACTCATTTACTCAATCACATGCATCAAAAGTAGATAATCGCACTAGAAATCGCAGCAAAAATTGCAAGTGTAAACCGGTCTTATAAGAGAGGTGATAATTATATAAATATTTAAGATATCGAAAACGAAATATATTATTTATATCAATCATAGGGATAAACAGGCATAGATTTGATACAGCCTTGAAAACGAACAGGTTCAAAATTTCGCGTCGGCGCGGTAAACAATTCGCCCTGAAATATTGGGGGTGCCAGTTAGGACTGGCAACCTGCATCTAGTGTTTCGAGTCTTTTATTGCTTCAAATTACGGTACTCAATCACTATTAGTAACGATTTAGATTTGTAGCTTCGCGTCACAAATTCTTAAATATAAAGGACTGATCCTTTATACTGAAAAAATTTGCGATGCCATCGACATATTGAAAACATACAATGCATAAGTATATGAATTATGATTATGTTTTTTGCTGCATCATCTCTGGTGTGATGTCTGCTGGAAGAAATGGTCGCTCCTGCATCTCTTTGGGCTGTTCGACTTTCTGGCAGCAGTTGTTGTCATTTTTGTATTTTTTCTTTCGCTTCAGGTGGTCTTGTATCGCCGTAAATCACACGCAATGTTTCTGTCAAAAAAGAAAAAAATAATACTAACATTTCCTTATGGCGCAAATTTACATGTGAATAATTATGATCAAATGCGCTTGACGTCAAGTATTACGCTTTCCCATAGTTACATACTTAGCCTTCATTAATGCTGTTTTCCACGTTACCAAAGAAATCGTTAAGCAAAAGATGGTAGACAGTCCATCCGCGATGGCAAGCAGTCCATTGTTTTTGGTCAATAATTTCAAGAACGGAGAAAGATATCGGTAAACGAATGCAATCTTTATGGAAAATTTTGAAATATGAGCTGATATAGGGCGAGTAGCTCAACCATGCAAGAGAAAATGATGTCTGAAATTCAGTGAGTTTTGCTTGTATGGCTGTATAAATACAGCATTAATAATAACTGTATTTGAATTGACAATATTTAACTATTATTTTGCGTTTCTCAAACGCCAGATGCATTTAAAAAGGTTGCGAACTGTGTAAATTACAAAATAAAGCTAAAAGAAAGTAATTTTGAAAGGAACGCCAAATAGATGTTAGGTTCTGAACACTTTCCATCGCAAATACATTGAAAAGAAATACCTCTTAAACATTTGTTTAGACGAGCATAGAGCAAGTTTTGTCTTATTTTATTAGCTTTGCCAACTAGGGCAGGGTCACCACAGCAGCATATGCCAATTACTGTGGACCCTTTTACCTAACCCACCCTGTCAACGTTCCCTGTGAGGGAGACCGGAGTACCCGAAGGGGTCCACGACTTTCGGTGGCGTGTTGCCTTTTGCTCTTTTAGCGTGGGGACTGGGTTCGAGTCGCGTTGAGAAGGTTCGAGTCGGGTTGAGAAAGTTCGCTCTGAGATTTGGACCTGCGGTCTTGGAGGTGAAAGGCAAGTGCGCTAACCACTTCGCCACCGAACTTATTTTATTTAAATCAAAGATTGGAATTACAGTATTTGAATTTTGGAGAAGGAGTAGAACAGTCAGCATCTAGAATAAGACACGGGTAAAAACCAAATGCATGTGTTCACACTGCTTGTTCCCAGTTGTTGACTAGTCTTGGACAAGTTGTTATCATCTTGTAACCAGGTCGATGAGAGGCCAAAAGACTCGCAACAAGTTGTTCCAATAAGTCTTATATCGTCTGCACGTAACAAAATGCTAGAAAGTTGGTTACAACGAGCCTGTATTAGTCTTGTTGGAACAACTTGTAGCGAGTCTGTTACCGCCATCAACTTCGTGACAAGGTGATAACAACTTGTTCCAAACTTGTCACAACAACCAGGAACACATCAAACACATCGTGATATATTGTTACAACTTGCTTACCGATCTATAACGACTTGCGCGTTTTCACGTGCGTACGTGCTACAAGCTTTTGAAATCGAAGGGATGTCACTGTACTTACGTCACAAAGATTTGCATATCTAATGGCATTAATCAGGGTGTGAACATGACTTTCAATTGAGAAGTAAAGACGCGTCCCAACAGGACGATATTGAGTAACAATATCGCGAGAATATCTGCAATAAAACCACACACAATTAATAAGAATATAACCAATTTGTACACAGGGTTATTACAGGAACATCTGAAATTTAGCACTTAGAATTGAAACACCATCTAAACAACATTGAGCTACACACGCAAAAATCTCACTTGTAGCAAGTCTGCCAACAAGACGTCAACAAGTTGTATTCGCATTGCTTGTCCAAGTTGTCAACAACTTGTTAGCAGTTGTAAGAACCTTGTTGCTATTATCAAACTTGTTGCAAGGTTCTACCAACAAGTCCAATACGGTCATGATATAACAACATTGTTACAACCTTGTGTCCTCAATCTTGTAACATTCTTGTTACATCATGACTGTATCACACTTGTTAGAACAACCTTGTAACAAATCCGATAATGCTATCAAGCTTGTTACAAGTTGTTAACAGCGTGTTCCAAACTTGTTGCAACCACTTGGGAACAAGCATTGTGAACACAACTTGTCGACAACTTGTGAACAGACTTTTAACAACTTGTTTGCAGACCTGCAAAAAACTTATGCGTTTTTACATGTGAAGTCTGTTACAAACGCAAAAATATCACATCTTGCAGCAAGTCTGTCAACAAGTCTTCAACAAGTTATGTTTACACTGCTTGTCCCAAGTTGTCAGCAAGTTTAGAACAAGCTGCTAACGACTTGCAACAACCTTGTTGATATTATCAGACTTGTTGCAAGGTTGTTCCAACAAGTCGGGTATGATATAACGGGCATGCTATAATAATATTGTTACAACCTTGTGTTATCAACTTTGTAGCATTCTTGTTACGTCATGACTGTGTTAGACTAGTTAGAACAACCTTGTAACAAGTCTGATAATGCTATCAAGCTTGTTACAAGTTGTTAACAGCTTGTTCCATATTTGGTACAAGAACTGTGGTCTATAGACAAGTAAAAACGCACAAGTTGTCACAGGTCTGGAAACAAGTTGTTACAAATCTGCTCACAAGCTGTCGACAAGTTGTGTTCGCACTTCTTGTTCCAAGTTTTTGTAGCAAGTTTGGAAGAAGCTGTTGACAGCTTGAAACAAGCTTGACGGCATTAACAAACTTGTTACAAGGTTATTCCAACAAGTGTGTTACAGTCATACTATAAGAAGAATGTGGCAAGGTGACGCAAGGTTGTAACAATATTGTTATATCATGACTGCATTGGACTTTTTGGATCAACAGCTTATTGCATGCTGTTAACAAGCATTATCACAGTTGTTACAGCGTTGTTCTAACAACTGCGTTACAGTCATGATGAAGTCTAGTTGTCGCGGGTTTTTTTTTCGCGGGTCGAGGGTTTTTTGCGGATATTTTGTCGCGGGTTCTTTTCGCGGGTCTTTTCTCCACGGTCTAATTTTGATGTCAACGTTCTTTCCCAGGGGGTGGAAGGGGGGGAGGGGGTGGGGGGGGGAGAAGAGGGGATATTTGCATGACAAATTGGCTGTTCTCATCACAATAAAGCCGCACTAAACTTTATTTGTTAGTAATATACAGTGGCTTTTCGAAACCGATTTTGACTTGAAAATCACAAAACATAAAAAACTCTGTTGAAAACTGTTGTGTTTGCATTGCTTGTTCCCAGCTTGGGGATGTGGATATAAGATGTTGAACTTAATTATATAACAGACTTTTTCCAAGAACTTGATGATATCGTCCTGTAAATTCAACAACCTGTTAACGAAGCTGTGAATGACAACCATGTAGCAACTTGAAATAACAACAACATTGTTGCAACTTGTTTACAAGCTTACGACAAGGCTGTTGTGAACACATCTTGTTGACAATGTGACAAGACGTGAGATTGTTGCGTGTGTAATTGGCTGAATACTTAGATAATTGTTTTGATATTGATGTTTTCTAATAATTTAATCGTTGTTGTGCCGGTTGGGTAAGTGTAAACATTTCAGTAGTAAAATTTTATGACAAACATATTGTGTTGTCAATTTATTCATATCTGCGAAATTTCTAAGCCATTCTTAACTCAATAACTT